CCCAGCACGGCAATGTCCATCCCCTTGTCGAACATTGTCAAAGTCTGCAATCAAAGAATCGCAAGTTGCTTGGCAACAGCCACAGGCAAAGAAAAGAGACTGAAAACTCACCACAAGCGAATCTGGAGCAAACAAATGAAGTCTGGCTCCGGGTGGTTTGCTCTGAACATGTGCCAGCTCTGTCTTTGGTTTGACCGGCTACTCCTACTGCGTGACACACCAGCACATTCGAGTCCGCCTCTACTTTTTTTTTTTTTTTACCACGTTTTTAAAATGTTAACACTATTCAAAATGAGTGGTTTTGCAGTAGGGGTGGGGCTAGAATGGTGTGCACTGCCATTTGGCCATGTGTTGGGGTTTTATCAAGGGTTTTTACAGGAGCAGGAGCATATTAACAGCTTACAAGTGATGTCAAATGAACTCTACATGATGAGGGATGGGTAACTTAACCAGAAGATATTCAGCAGAAATCCAGCTAGTGAGGGACATAACACCACAAGATCTTCTCTCTGCCTGTCAAGTCATTCAGTATGAGAGTGATGAAAACCAGGTTAAGGTCATTTCTTGTCTATATGTAGGTTAAAGTGATGCAGAAGAGGAGGAGTAGGAGCACAAAGGGAGAAACAGAGACTACTGCAGCAAGCAGTCTGGTCCACTAACCTCCTTTGGATGTCTCTGTCTCCCTCTCAGGAGAGGAGGGTGCAGTATCCTGTGTCCTCGCCACTTTAAAGCCAATCAGTGTAATTACAGGCTGTGTCTCTGTTCACCAGCACACACACACACACTTGCAAAGAAACATGCAAAAAATAGCCCAAACTGGCACACACACACCTGCCACCTTAGCTACCATGACACTTTCACTTACTACCCTTAAATAAGAGTTTCTTTCACATGTAAACTTGAACATTATTTTGTTTTAATTCAGTCTACCTGTGTGGATGAAGATGTGTATCAAAGCGCTGATCCCCCGGAGCTCCTTACCGGACCGACTAACGGTTAATAACCGGGATTAGGTTTTAACGGCGACCTGCTGACCGCGACTTCTTCCTCTTTTTTGTTCCTTAGTCTTTTATCTTCAACATTTACCGAGGTGACGTGAACGCAGCTGCTGCAGCACCGGCCGGCGGGACGTTAGAGAAACAAACGGACAGAAGAAGAAGTGGAGGACCGGATGCGCGCGAGCTCAGCACTGTAATAACGGTAACGGCAGGCTCTGACTGGGATGACATTGAGCTCCTTTTTACGCGCCAGCTTTTCCAACCGGCGCTTTCCTCCCCCTCCTCTTCCTCTCTCCTCTCTCTCTCTCTGTCTCTCCTCTTTTTTTTTTTGTAGGCACGCGCGCTGAATAATGCAGGGCTCGCGAGGTCCCGGGAGTGTTTTCTGTCCCGTTCCAGAGACAATCAGAGAGCGAGCCGCCAGCGCGAGCTCCAGCCAAGCACAATGAGGCCGACCCGGACGGATCAGGTTACCGGCCGTACTGCCTTTCATTCATTTATTCAGCTGCAAAACAATCTGACCGCAGCCCCTGCCAGCCAGCAGCAGCCCCCCCCTCCATGCTCCTGTACCCCACCTCTCTGTCTCCCCACCTCCTGCTCTACCTCCCCTCACTCAAATGTGCTCAGGTGGCATTTTCAGAGGGACAAACACATACTCAGAACACTCCAGAACAGGCGGTGGTGGTAACTAAGTCAACTGGCCCACATTTACTCAAGTACAGCACACAATTTGCATGTTTGCCACTTCATGTTTCTTCACTACAATTAAAGGGCCACCTTACCAATTCTGCATAAAGTCCAATTTGCTAGCAACTTGCATCATAGGAAGTGTACGATCCAGTGTTTTGGGTGTACATGCTCATACTTTTGCTAAAAGTCACAATATCTTTGCCTCTGCTGCACATATTTTGACCAGGGGCGTAACTATAGACAGTGCAGGTGTAGCCGAACTCACTCAGTTAGGCCTCGCTGTAACTGCTGGTAAGCAACCCTTGGAATCTGCATTGTGTGGACAACAATGAGGAGGTTCGTCATCCTTTTTACACCGCCATTTGTTCTCTGAACATGAACAGAATGTGTACTGTTCAGTCATAAAGTTAGCTCGTTACAGGTAGCTCACACACAGCACGCACTAAATTCATATCTTACAGACAGAAAAAAATGTGTTCGCATGGATCAGATTACCTCAAAAGTGGCTGAAAATCATGTTGGTGTACCTCAAGGTTCCACTTTGGGTCCTCTGTTATTTAGTTTGTTTATTAATGACCTACCTGAAGCTTGTCCACCTACTGTAACTTGACGACGCGGGCATATATTTACATGCAAAAAACAAGAAGCACGCAGCAGAAGAGCTATCCACTTCAATGGGCAATACTTCTTATTGGTTAACAAGCTCTTGTTTACATTTGAATGTCAGATCTAGATGTTACAGTAGCAGGGAGAAGATCATTGGTAGTACATGAGTTTAAATATTTAGGCATAGTAATAGATCCACAGCTCAAACGTAAACAAAGCATGTGGTTTCTTCTTCCACCACGAAGAACAGGTAAAGTCCAGGACACCAACCCTTATTATTGTTAAACCAAACAATAAACACATAAATGGATAAGTATATGAATGAATAAATAAATAAATATTACAGCATGTATGCCAAAATACAGAGATCCCTAAACCAATATACACCAAAGAAAACAAAATGTACTACTGTAAAACATCAATTAGGCTAATAGCCCATGGCTATTAATTGCTTAAATTACTGAATTCAACAGGCCCCTAACTGGGACAGGCTTTTAATTCCTATAACACAAAAATATTGCCCAGCAAAGATAGGAAATGCAATGAAAATGTTTTATTTTAACCAGTTAAATATTATTTTAAAAAAAATTAGGCTACAAATAACAATCAGTTATGAATCATTCATTTGATCTAGCTACGATAGCCGATACCCTAGGATAACAGCATCCGGCATACCGACACAACACCAGTCTATCCTGTTAAAAGAATACTTAGAACTTGGATACATTTTTATGAAAACCCCTTTTGATTCTTTGATGGAATACGAAGGAATATGATGACCTTCCCAGGTAATCAAGGAATGGACGTATATTCTGACTTAATGACTGCTTCAGAGGCAGGAAGTCACCACTTTCTTTTCCTCATCTCTTTTGTTTATCATGCTGATTAAATCTCAGTGAATTACTGTCCTCTTTGGTGCTCATTCTGTAGTTTCAATAAAATGGTCTGAATGATTGAATTGTGGAGAATCGAACTGAGCTAACAATATGTAGCGTTGATTGTATGTGCGACTGACGCACCTAACTCACTAGTGACTACTATCAATGAAAAAAGCCGCTAAGAGGCTGAGTAGGCTCGTAACTAGTTACAACTGCGATAACTAAAGCAAAATAAGACGAAACAAAATATTACGTGGCTTGATTACGTGATTGCGGTAACAGTCAACAGAAAATATCGCAGCCACAACTCACTCCCTTTGTCTGAAAGCCACCACACCAGTGAATGAATGGGTAAAATAATGTGAAACCACACCCACACTTGTGCCAATTACTACAGGAAGTGAAAGTGACCAATAGAAAGTGTGCAGTCTAGACAAAGAATTAACAACAAGGGTTAAATACACACCCTGGCTCCTAGGGAGCCAACAACCTGTTTTTATACATTCAGAGAACTTCTATAAAAATGAATTCCTTGGCAACCAGACCAGGCTTCTAACTGAGACAGGAGCTAATTCATCATAATGTGTAGCCACACCGGGCTAGTAAAAGGGACTGGGCGTTTAATTGGGACTCGGCTTTTAATTGAAGTTTTACAGTATGTGGGAATAATATGGTTGCTATACCCTTGAAACTCACTACACCGTATGATCGGATATAACTCCCTGTAGGAATATTACTGTATCATATTAAATTAATACAATAGTAGATTAAAAAGAGCCCGTAAGTAGAGTAAGGTCACTTTAAGCACTTATTCAGTACCACAGGCTCATTATAAGTCTCCTTTACAGCAGATAAATATGCCACAAAGTACAGTAAGATCATGTTACACTTACTAAGTGTTATAAATATACAATGTGTACATGTAAAGATATTGTAGAAACAGTGTGGCGAGATATCTCAGCACACTGCAGAACAGATATGCACCTGTAGAGAGGAAACAATGTGGCTGAGAGGCATCCCAAACATGCACCCCCAGCAGATGTCTAGTTCAGCACAAACAGCACGCGCAGTACACTGTATCATTTTCAACTTCTACTTGTGTTAGATGCATTTTGTTGCACTTGAGTTTTAATTTTTGGTGATGCTGTCTTACACTTGGAGCATGACGTTCTTGACGTCTGATGTCTTTTGTTGTATTTGTCCGACAGTCGTCACAGAGAAAGTTAATTTCTAAAAAGTTGACGAACAAAACTGACTATGGTAGAGGTCATGTGTGATTTTGGGATTCAGTTACTTGACATGCCAGCTTTCCATCAATCTGCCTTGCCTACTGCATAGTCTTAAATTAGCAGCCTTAAATTTCTCTCAATGTACCATAACAAGAACCTGCATGGTACAGATGTTTCCAGTTGAGCAGAACACACAGTCCTAACTTGTCCGCATTCTCTCAGCTCTGTGGTTGTCTTGTTCTTCACATCTTGTTTTTTCTCCTTTTGAGGTATAAGAAAATTGAACTCACACACACACGCACACACACATAACACACACACCATTTCAGTGAATGGCAGTCCAAGGCTGGATGATGGAAATTGTCGCTCAGAGGCCTGTAATTCTCTGTAAAGGGTGAACAAATAGTCCCCTCTCTGTAACTGCACCATGAAAGGTTTCCTGCGACCTGGTGTTCTCGCTTCATGTCAAGTTCTCTGACAAAAAGTGTTGGTACATTATGTGTAGAATATCTGTAGATATTCACCCTGCACCTCGCTCTAACTTTACATAATCGCACCTTTAGATATACATAAAAACACACACATGCATACAGACTGCTCACCATGGCGGTGTGAGGTTGTCTGGTCGGAATGGGAGCTTGATACCCATTTTCTGTTGTCACGGTAACCTCTGATGGTGTGCCATAGCCTGTGATGAAACAAAAATTGAGTTATTGTTACCACTTACATCATCATCTTTCATTTTATTTGCACCTGTGTGTGACCTTTTGTGTCATGCAACATGCATCTGATCTCGAAATGTAATAATAATAGTGATTTGCTTTTGTGGTGGATTATAAATCAGTGAACTGCTGACATCTGGTCAGTTATCATGACTGTGAGAATTATTTTTAATGCAACCACAGCAACTGCATGACAGGGATGATAAATCCAAGGCATTTCCTGCACTCTTTGGCTGAAATATTATCTTGATTCAGGTCTTTGCTGCCTCGGTGACCCAGTTCCACCCCGAGGAGTCAAGTTCATCCAATTTCATCTTATCATCCTCAACCTCCTGACACCCAAACTCACTGCAGCTGAAGTAACACTGCTGTCAGAGCAGGAAATATTAACACGGATCTGTTGAAAGCAGACTCACACTACTACTAGTACTACCACTACTGCTATTGCTACTACTACTACTACTACTGCTACTGCTACCACTACAGCTGACAGCCAGCTGATTGGATCATTTTTTCTTATTTTCTTATCAGTCACACATCAATCACAGCCCATTCCCACACATTTAAACATGGCTTCCCACTCACTGATCCCTGCTACACCAATGCTGCCACAGACCATTGCCACTGCTGGAAGTGCATTTAATGAAAATAATACTGTACTTAAATTACTGTATTTTAAGGTATGTGCAAATTGAATCGGTATTATCATTTTATGCTACTTAATACTGCAACTCTACTTCATTTCAGAGGCAAATACTGTAATTTTTCCTCCATTCAGTTGATAAAATGTAGATGAAACTACCCAACTTTAACACTGAATAATAATAATCCAGTAATTATACTGCAGTATTCATAAAATAAGACTCTGAAACGGGACATTCTGCATAATGATACTCCTTCTTTATAATGTCATTGAAGATTCTCAGTCATCCAGGTCATGGTAATCTTAAGTGCTATGTTGTTGGCCAATAGACTTGCTTGAGTTTCTTGAAGACATTTCACGTCTCATCCAAGAGGCTTTGTCAGTTCTAACCGGATCCCTCCCCAGACGACTTAACACCTGCATTCTTAACTGGACCCATCTTACCGTAACAACACAAGATGGCCGGGTGGGTCAACGACTCACATGACCTCAGGCGAAACGTCTTTAAGAAACTCAAGCAAGTCCAGTTGCCTACAGTATAGCACTTATGATCCTTCTTATAATACCCATTTTTAAGTAGTATATTTACGTGTTATTGCTTCTTCTAAAGGATCCGAATAGTTCTTCCACCATTGGTAGTTGGAATAGTAGCGACAATGGTATGGGCAATGGTATTAGTAATAGCAGTAGTGAGTGTATTAGTAGTATCAGCAGTGGTAGTAGTACATTACACTTACTCCCATGCAGCAGGGAAATGAGACACAGTATATGTTGTAATTCAAGACCACTTTACGTATAATGATTCGGCTGAGTTGCATCTTTATTTGCTACCCCAAAAAAGACATCTATATTTTTTGCATTGAATTTGATGTCCTATCGTACGTTTGTAAAGTCATGTGGAACCACAAATCCTGTGCAATGTCACACATAACAGTTCATTCAGTGCTGGTGAGATACTGCATATGTGGCCTCGAGCAAATCACAATGCTGTGATGCATGCTTACAGTAATACATATTTCCACCTGCAGCTGACACGTCTCTTATCATCCCGTAATAATTTTCTGCTGTCATCGTTACTTGTTAAAGCCACCGGGCTGTCATTGTCTTAAGATAAATCAGTTAGCGCTCATTATCACGGAAAACACACCCATACTCTGTGCGGGAAGAGAGTGTGTGCATGTGTCAGCCCTGTGTCCAGATGCTGGTTGTCATGACATCTGTAATGTATAATCATTTATCACCTTGTGTTATGTCCTCCGGGGAAGAGTGTGAGTCATGTTTGTGTTGCTGCTCTCTCAAGATCATGTGTGTTTTAGATGAAAATAACAACACCCTGTCCGTCATCTGAGATAGACGCACTTTATCAGAGGGCAGTGACACTGTATGAATCTCTGTCTACTTATCCATGGTTTCAGAAGATGTTTATGTTCATGACGTATTGTATGTACTCTATTTATCACATGTGAATGTGTTCCTGAAATGTCCTTGAGCAGGACTGTGAACGCCTCTGTGTTCATGCAGTGTGCCTTTGAATAAATCTTTGTGTGGTGTGTTTTTCTTGACTTCACTCATCTTAATTGTCCTCTCGGCTCATTGCTGTGCAGTTATCAGTGTGGTATCAGTAAAGTTAGCATGCAGTGAGGTCATTTCTTGCAGTACCTACTATTGATACCAGGGGGGGCCTCAGGGCTCCTGCAGAACTGGGGTATGGGGGTATCTAGATTGATCCAGTTATCTATAATCCCAGCTACTTACTCACCCATGTTCCTACTTTCTGTCCTTCAGCACCAGCTAGCTCCCTATTCCTCTCCAATCTATCATCTAAAATATTTACAGTCCTTATGCTCCTTCCTACTCCATATTTTCTGCAGTGTGTAAACTCATAAGATGCCACAGACACAGTATGAGTCCCTACAGGAATGTTGCAGTAATATTAGAGCGATTTCTCATAAGCAGTTGCTAGTCATACTGAAAGGGAGAGATTATATTAAAACTTTGAACTGCGTTTGCTTGTACACCCATCCCTTTTTCTGTTTTTAATATTCATAGTAAGAACAGACTGATGACATGTTGCAGTTTAGCTGCTTTTAGAGTACATTTTCAGGCTTTAATCTAATTTCCAGAGCAGTAAGTGTTTGGCACAGAGCCTGGCACAAAAACACCTCAGTGCTGTTTCCCATTAGGCCACATTATCACATTAAAGCTACTTTTATGAAAATGACTTCTTGTCATTTAAATGAAACTGTCACTACATTCACACTGTAGTGCGTGAGACAGTCTGTGAAATAAATAATATTCTTCCTCCTCTTAGTGCTTCTAATGGCATTTGCTAGATCTGCCACAGCCAATCAGACGAGGAGTCTCTAGCTTTCATAAAAAAATAACTTTTGTCATATTTGCTGTCACTATATTCACACAGCACTAAATGAGCACTACTAACCTGTGAAAAAAAATCATATTCCTCTGCCTATTCTATTTACTTGTAGAGCTTCTAATGGCCTTGCTGCGTGTGTATGAAAACAACCAATCAGAGCCGAGGAGTCTCTAATGCAGCTGTCAATCAATGCTTGTGAACTGCAGTCAACCTGTCAAACTAGGCAGCACTGAACAAATATGAATCAAGATTCTGTTACTGCATTGCCTATATCTGGCCTCAGATGTTTGCAGAAACATATTTTAGTGTACTGTTTAGCTGTAAAATGAGAAAGTTGCTCGAGCTGGGAGGGCGGTGCTTGGTATTTTGCTCCTCAACTCCTCCGCTGTGTTTGGCTGTTTTCTCTTTTCTTGTAAATGCCATTAGAAGCACTAAGAGTTTCTGTTAAATATATCAACTACATCTTTAATCTAAATTCATGACTTTAAATTTAAACCCAGTCTCACTCAGTAGTCGTTGAAACCAGGTGCTTGTGCAGTGACTTGCAACGTAAGACACTGATGAAAAAAGTCATTCTTTAATGTCGGCATAACACGCGGCCGGTTGCTGTTATAGTTTAACGGTGCTCGGCAGTGTCAGGGGGAAACACGGTGGGACAAGAACCAAAGTTAAGGCTGTGAAAATCTAAGCAGAATGGGTGGGTCCAACAAATACAGACTTTGACCCAGGTGAGCGATGTTTGCGTCCTGTAAGATTATAAAGCCTAAACCCAACCATGTGCTTTTGTTGCCTAAACCTAACCACATGCATTAGCTGTCAATTAGCATTGTTGTACCAATGTAGTGCCTTTATTTTGAAAACGGAAGAATATTTTGAAAGAAGACAATGCATGTAACAGGCAGAACTTGACACGGCGTCCCAGAACGTCAACAACCAACACACCCAGGGCACCTTTCACGTTGTATCTGGACACGGAAAGTCCATGACCAAACGTCGACATGTGACGAGGTCGGAGTGAGAATGTGTTGCAAATTTACCGCATTCCAGTAACGTTTATTCATATTTAGCTGGTTTTCAAGCATTTATTGCATCATGTGCTATTTGAATCAAGTAAACATTATGAAACTGTCAAAATATTCTGAGGTACTCAGAATAAAGACGGTCACAGTAAATCAAAGCAGTAATTAAATAATTTACAACTCACTATATCTGTGGCTTTAGTCTTGCTCTGGTTTGTTTGTTTGCATGACTGGTTTTAAATAAATGACACTAAATAGTTGTATTTATTATAATGGGTAAAACAGAACATACTGTAAAGCAGAAAGTTACACTGGGAGTTGAGTTTGTGGTTAAACATTGGAAAGCAGTGACTGCTGTCCGTACCTTACCTGTATTTGTTTTGTCTTATGTGACAAAATATCCCCTAAATTTAAGTGTAAAGAATGTGTGTGCTTGTTAGTGGCAGTGGGTATTATCACAGATAGGGGTGCAGTGAGGAGAGCTCGTGATCTCTTTTGTCAGCAGCCAATGAAAAGTGAATGTTAGAGACAGATGGAAAGAACAACAAGCAAGAGACGGCAGGAGGGCACTGGAGAAACTCAGCTTTATTGACCAAAGATAGAGAGAGGATACAGACATCAGAGAGATAGAGAGAGCGAGAGAGAGAGAGAGAGAGAGAGAGAGAGAGAGAATGTGACAGAGTGAGTTGTCATACCCACAGAGAGAGAGAGAGAAAGAGAAAGAGAGAAGTGTGAACAATAGAAAATGGCTCCTTTTTGTTTTTAACAGTCCATACAACCATGAGGGCAGGCAGACAAGAAAAAGAGAGACCCCTACAGAGTCAGAGGAGTACTGCAGGCGTGGCAGTGGGGCTGGTAAACTCAACAAGTCTGGCGTTCACGTACAGCTCCTTGCATTACATCAAAAACACACACACACAAACCCACACA